TACCGCAGACTAGGTATTTATAAACAACAGAAGTTCATTTAGCTCACAGTTCTGGGGGCTAAGAAGTTCAAGAGCATGGTGCCAGCATCTTTGGGGGCTTTCTTGCTGCATCGTGTCATAGAGGAGGACAGCACGTGGTAAGAGAGCAAGAGTGTATATGTGTCAGCTCAGGTTTCTCTTCATCTTATTACAAAGTCACCATGGGGTCCCCACCCCGATGACCTTATCCAATCCTAATTATCTCCCAAAGGTCCCACCTCCAATCAACATATGAATTTGAAGATTAAGTTTCCAACACATGAAATTTGGGGAAAACATTCAAACCAAAGCAAGGCCTTTTGTAGTGTTTCTATAGAATTATAATTAATGAGGCTTATTCTATCCTAAAGAAATACTCTTTCTTATTATTGTTCAAATGTCATACACTGGGCCCTTTTTTAATTTATAGTCCTACCAGCAAAAATTTGCCTTAAGATCCTGTAGAATAAAATTTGAAATTTGAAAGACCTACCTACCCAGCCCCAAACTAAATTCATTCATTCAATGAACATTTAACAAAAAACTACTACATTTCCTCAAAAAAGTTTACAGTAGAGAAAAAACTATTAACTATGCATAACTAAATATGGTTTGGTATCTGCTCTAAAAGCATTTATATGCACATGGTAGAAAACAACCTGAGGAAAACCGATTAGCATAGATTTGAGTCCTGAACACTTCTCCATTGCTGAAGAAATCTGGAAGCACACTTTTCTGTCATACTCATCTAAATTAAGCAATGTCTCTCTAATATAGGTCATGTACTAAATTAGCCACCAGGTTTTGTTAAATTTTTGAGACATGCATAGATCTTAAAATACTCTCGCTCAAAAACATATGTTTAATCAGATTGGAGTTTAACAGCTTTAAAAAATTATACAGGCATCTTAGAATAAATTGATTTGACAACTGACAGGATATATCAAATCTTTGCCTTTCTATTTTGAAACCAAAGTTTTTACTATCATCTTCAATATAGCTATTCTTTATCTTCCACAAGAAAAAAGGATTTATAGCCTACAACTTTCAATTTAAATAATTTATCCTGTAATTTAAATTGAGCTGCTCTAGAATTCTTCTGTCAAATACATACACGCTTATGAATTAAATTTATCTTGAAAATGGCAGATAGCAATGCCATTTGTTAGGAAAATTGTACCTAACCCTAGCCTCACCTTTGTCCTGAGAAATTCTTGTGAGAAAAGAAACAGAGAATTTAAATTACTTTCAAAGAAAAAAATTTATGATTTGTCATGGAAGAGATATTAATCACTTTTAAGAAAATAAAATGCTTACTCTTTGATTTTTTGTAAATATTACTTCATCTTTCCTTTCCTTAATACAATTGCACAACAAAAATAATAATCAATTTGCTTGGAATATTAATATGTGCCAAACATATTAATTTTAACTTTTTACCTATTGCTATTAGACTCAGATGATAAGAAGAAAAATTAGTCAATAGGAGAGAGAGAAATCTTTAACATTCTCTGAAAAAGACAGCAGTCCATGCATTGAGACTAAAAATAATGTCCATATTAAAGTTATTTTGTCTATAGACCTCAGTATATTATTAAACATATTGTAATAAAGTCCATGGACAGTCACAAATACATGTTAATCTGATTATTTGATAATTACTTGTTTTTCATCCTCATGTCAGTCTTGGAGAAAATGATTTTGGGCAGGCAATTAAACCAAAGATTCTAAAGCCAACACATTAAAATAATTATCTCATCTATAAAGCCTTAGTTAAGACATAAGCTAAAAATGCTTCCTTTCTAAACAGTTACAGAGAAAAAAATGATAGAATATGAAATAAGCTATAAATTTAAGTTTTGATGCAGGCAATAAATTACAGAACAGAAGTACCAGAAACTTCATGTCCCCTGCCAACAAAATGTACTCTTTTGAAAATGATGGGCTTTGTCCAGGAGTGGTTAAAGCTGAAACCAACCCAGTGATTCAATAATAGCTTAATGACACATTGCGAGGGATGCTTGTATTTCAATTTGGAGAAAATCTTGCTTTTAAAAACTGTATTATATTCAGAAACTAATTCTGTTTTCTCTTTAATTATACTATGCGCTATAGTACAGAATGTGGCTTAAGATAGCCATCATGAGTATAATCTTATTGGGAAGAGAATTAATTGTTGAAATAAAGACTTTAATTATATATATATATATGAATATTAGTTCTATCTTCAAGGTATTCCATAGTATGGACCTTAACTAAGTGTTATAATGAGACCACAGCATCATCCGACCCCTTAATTGTGGTGGTCTGTGTGATATCAAAGGGATCTCAAAAAAGCTTCTGTGATTTAAAATATTCCAAAATGTTGATTCTTCTCAAAATAGATGAGTTTCTGAAAATTATAGTTTGAATTTTTCTCTCAGTTTAGAAATAAATCCCCCTGGTTTCAATGCCATAGGACAAAGTCTATTGTATAAACATACAGGTAAAAAGGACTAAAGTGCGAAATTTACTTTTTAAAAATTACAACACCCAAGATAGCAGCACAACATCATTCAAGAAATATTATTAAAAATGGAAATAAACTCTCATAAAATCTTTAGATAAGACCTTTGTTATTTAAAAATTCTCACTGAGAAACACATAACATGGGAAAGCCAGCAGAAAATATGTGGACTTATACAAAGGATCTAAAGAAGAAAAAGAACATTCACATCATATCTTGTGACCTTTGATTAATTCAAATATTTGTGGTCCCAAAACAATTTATCTTTGCCAAGAGACAACTACCTACACTAGTGTTTACACGATAATTCATTTCCCCCTAAAATAACATTATTTTTAATTAGATGTCATAATATTTACATTTTGTTGTACCAAAAATAAAAATAGTAATTTTTCTACAAAATTTTTACTTAAAATTAAAAGCACAAAGCCTGTCCCATATGAACTTGTCTTAGGTTAACTATACATCAATACAATCATATACATTTATAAAATGGGTTTGTGATGAAATTGGAAATTATTCCAATAATTCCTCATTTCTAATGACTAACAAATAGATTTTAATCTCTATAATCCATTTAACTGGAAGAGAAGAGAGCTGGTGGTCAGAGATTCTGGAACCAGTACTGATATCCAGTCTTATCTCACAGAAGACTCCCAGAAAGAATTAACTGTCATTTTTCTAAATAGGAAATTAATATAGTAGCAGCACACAGTTTCAGGAGAATGGGCCCATGTGAGGAAAGACAGCATAAGGGAGGAAACCACGACACAGCAGTCTCCTAGTCTCCTCGCTGCTGAGGGAGAAAGATTCTCACATATCTGTGAAGCCAGACACTGTGACCAGATTCGACACAGCAGTCTCCTAGTCTCCTCGTGGCCTCGCTGCTGAGGGAGAAAGATTCTCACATATCTGTGAAGCCAGACACTGTGACCAGATTCCAAAAATGTCTATCTGAAATGGGCAGAGGGTCTGTGGTGTGCAGACACTGCCACCATGACTCCCCGTGTTGGCCCTAGACAGCAGGATAAGGGGTGACTGGGGAAAGTGCTACCTCCCATTTCCTCCAGGAACCTCCTGAAATCAGTATTTTAGGCCCATAACATCCTATAACAAGCTATAAAAGGTAGGAATTCAGGAAAGAAGATAGAGAAAAAGTTGCAGACTTTCCAGCAGGGTAGAGATTCTCCAGTTCAAAGCATTTAGATGTATAGAACATAGACTGTAGACCATACGTGGATAACTTGGAATTATTTTCAGAGATATATACTGTAAAAAAATGTTGTCCACTTAGTGTTCACCTATATGCTACTTAGCATTTCACACTAACAATCCGTACTTTTTAGACAAGAGGTCATACAAAGGTTTTATTTTCCAGATCATACTGAAAGAGAAAGAATTTACATTTATAAACCAATGATCAAAATACCACCTGGTTGACAAACATTAACATCTTAACAAATGATAGGAACAGTATTTGAAACACAATAATTACACAGAAAAAAAATGAGCTTAATGCTCTAAGAGATAAATTGCTTAAATACATCATCATAAGGATAATTTATGAAATGCATAATTTCACAGACTTGGTAACTGATTTCACTTTGATTCCAATATGAATCCTACACTTGGCCTTCATTTGAGCATACATAATGCACTTATTAAACAAGAGGCTTTAATTTAATTTACTTACTGAAGTAACATCCTATAATTTTATAATTAATGACTCTTAATAGCAAAGCAAAAATGTCCTGGAGACATGTGAAAGCAGCTGGGTCGTGAGGAGTGATCACAATCCTCCCTCCCATTTCTGGAGATAGGATCAATGGTTGACAAGAATGAATGAGGAGGTTTATCCCATGATAGGATCTGTGGGGCTAAGTTGGACACTCAGCTATAGTATCTCGGTAACAGGATAGTATAGTGGTGGAAGCCACGATTAATCACCAAGTCTGCACCAGTCAATGACCAAGGTGGTCCCATGATAGGATCTGTGGGGCTAAGTTGGACACTCAGCTATAGTATCTCGGTAACAGTATAGTATAGTGGTGGAAGCCACGATTAATCACCAAGTCTGCACCAGTCAATGACCAAGGTGGCCAGGTGCCTGCATGTAACTCCATTTCACCTCAACTTTTTTGATCAACATGGATAAAGGTGGAAGTTCTTAAAAATAACGACTATTTAATATTCCAAAGGATGTGAATCCATCCAAATCTGAATCAAGTTTCCCAAGGCCACTTGACAGTGAGCTAGACATCTCTAGGTTCATGTCCAGGCTCTAGAGATAAATCAATGATATCTCCAGTTATATTCACCAAGATGCTTTCATCACATCATCTAAACTAAGAGCAGCATTTTAGTTTAGTAGAGGAAGAATTATAAAATGAATCTTTCCAACAGAAATTTTTAAAAACATAACAAAAAAATGACATAAGAAAGATAAAATTCACTCTGCTTTTGAGCCAACACTGACCTTCTGTTCCAAAAGCAATGTGTTTGTAGGGATTGCTGCAAAAGCCTTGTAGCTTGACTTGATCTTGTATTGCTAGAATGAGTAACCAGAAAGCAAGAGTGGGGATGAAAAGGGGAAAGAATATGACATAATTTTAGACAGTTCTAGCAAGTCGAATGACACATTATCAAATGAAGAAAAGAGTTATTACAACTTGTTTCTGACAGGAAAAAAATTAGCTTACCAAGTTAACATTTTATTAGAATGAGAAGCAAGGATTTATCACAGTAAAACATAAACCTAGAGATTATAGGCAATTACATGCTTCCAAGTTTCAGAACGTAAAAACATTTATTTTCACAAAACTGTATATAAATCTCCCATTAGCATCATGCCCTCATAGAAGCACTATTCTATTAATGGGGGTGGGGGGTGTTCTATTGGATCCTCAATGGATTATGTTTCTGTTTTATAGTGCCATAATTAAATATTGTGCCAATAAATTTAATTGAGTTCATGATACATTCTCCTACATCATTCATAAAAACAAAAGATCAGAATACATAAAATTCATTAGCAACTTTTAACAAGCAGCAATGTAGTCTATCATCTGAGTACGTTATATCAGCAATTTAATTTCATAATGGAAAAAAAAAGAAGTACAAGGTCTTGATCTTAAACTCATTTTTTTAAAGTTCATCGCCATCTCTTGCACTTTCTAATACAGTGATGTTAATCAGCAAATGATAAAAGTTCCTGAGTTTTAAGTAAAACTCAAAGTAATATGGTTCAGTTTCATGGAGTATTTGGGGGAGAGCAGTGAGCAGGAGGAAGTTGTAGAAATCAGGATAAAATGCACAATCGAAAACCCAGTTTTGATATTGCTCTGGGTCTCAAGCTGCTTAACTAAGTTCAAAGTTCCTACCATTTCAAATGCCTTTGTCTCAGGCAGCTTCCCCAGTGGCCCAGAGCCAGCAGGGAAATTTGCACAGAGGGTCTGCAGAAGAAGACAGTCAAATAAAATTAAACCTTGAGTTTTATACATGTAACTGAAGTGACTTTCATTAAACTAGTGTGATGAAGAAAAGAGGCTGGCACATTCATGTTCCTTAGGAAGAAGTTGAAGTAAAGAGAAATTAGAGTGCCAGACACAGAGGAAGAAAGTAAGCGTCCGGCCAGAAGCAGAACACATCCTCTCTTTTTCCTATTTTTTTCCTATCTATTGTTTTAGAAATAATGAAAAGGAATTAGCAAACTGAAGCCTGGATGCCAGCAGATGACAAAGAAAGCCACCTAAGCCAGATAACCACACTCACACACACACACACATACTCATTTACACACACATACTCTCACACAGAAATATGTATAAATATTCATATGCACACACACAAAATTCACATGCACTGACATACAGTTACACACACACTCATACATACTCATTTACACACACATACTCTCACACAGAAATATGTATATATATTCATATGCACACACACAAAATTCACATGCACTGACATACAGTTACACACACACTCATACACAAACGCACTTTCAGCAAAGCATGCACAAGATCTCAGAAGCTGCACTCTTTTTTTCCAAAAGGTGAACTCTGAATGTTTATTTTCCACTTTCTCTTCTCCAAATAGCTCTTCCCACTCATAAGAAGCTGTGTAGCCTTCCACAAGTCTCTCAACTCTTCTAGGTCTTGCACTCCCATTTCCTACATGAGGGGCAATTGCTGAAGGATGTCTCAGGTTTCTTCAATCCTTAAGTTTCCGCATTTGTCCTGCACTGCTGTCATCCCCAAACAAAAACTTATTTGGATAAGGATTGAAAATAAATGCCATCTCTTCATGGGCAATAGTAGCCAACATTTATTACTAGGCAAATTACATATATTGCCTCATTTAATCTTATAGAAGTCCTATAACTAAAGGGTTAGTAGGAAAAGAAGAGGTCAAGTGACTTGTCCAAGACCACATAGCCCATAAAGAGCCTGCCTAGATCCAATACCCATGCTTTCTCCATAAGATAATATTGTGTTCCAAAGAATATCTGAACAGACCTATAATGCAGAATAAAATATGCCATTCATTTTCTATGACGATTTTATAAATATTTAAGTGTAATAATAATTACAACAACAATAATAATAATAAAACAATAAAAATCACAATGGGCCGAGTACCACTCTAAAAACTTTATGTGACCTATCTCACTTAATTGTCACAAAACAAACCTATTAAGAAGATACCATATTATACCCATTTTATACATGAAAACTGAGGTACAGAAATGTTAAGTAACTTATCCAAGCTTACCAGTTAGACAGTCATAGCTGGGATTTGGACACAGGTACTCTAACTCAACAACTGTGGACTTACTACCTACGCCCTTGCCTCTCATTTCAGGATGCATAATCATTAATAATGTTTGTGTTCTCATCCTCAACTTCTCTAAAGAATATAGTTGCAGAAACCCTGTACAGAGATATCTTGTTAAACTGCACACATAAGACCATAGGATCTTATGATCAGATGTGATATCGAAGGTCATCTGGTTCAACCAAGATGACCTCATCCAAGACATGAATCTCACTGTTCTGTTCAATAGCCTCATGAACACTTCCCCCACCACCCAAGGCAGGACATTCAGGTCTAACTGTTAGAATTGAGACAAAATTCTCACCTACTGAGCCAAAATGTGCTTCCTGCTTACATATTCCATTGGTCCTATTTCTCCCCCTTTGAAATCATGACCCATGCTAACAGTTCTGTTCTGCATGAAAGTTCTACTGCTGCCTTCACCAACCTCTGACACTCAAGTGAAGAATTCCACTACCTTCACCACTTTCTTCTGTCAATATTCCTTTAAATTTCCAAAACGTATATGTTGAACTAGATTTGTTTTAACACAAAGTAGAATAATCATATCCACAATAGTAACAATAAATTTAATTAATGTAATGAAGATGATAATAATTGGGATTTTCTCATTAGTTTTTGTGAGAGTTTAAAATATACAGGAGAGGAGGTCAGAGTCATTTCATATTGTTGGATCACATGAAATATGTTGTTACCTGAATCCCTAAGCCTTTCACCTTTTTTAAAAATTATTTGCTGTGGGCTGGCCCGGTGGCGCACTGGAGAGTGCGCCGCTTGGGAGTGCGGCGGCGCTCCCACCCAGGGTTTGGATCCCATGTGGAGACCAGTTCCCGCTCACTGGCTGAGCACGGTGCAGG